CCCATATGTTCTCGTTTGCTTTCAAGAGTGTGAGAGGATGAACATTCTCATCCGGGAAATCTGTGTGTCGCTTCAACACTTAGACCTTGGTTTGAAGGTAGACTTACAAGTGGGACAAGTGAGGGCCTCACCATATTGGAGGGTACTCACCGTGGCCTTTTTCTCTGTGCAAGGGAGAGCTAACGTTATCTCCTGATGTGGAAACCCAGATGTCTGCCCTGAGTTATGACCGGGTCCCAGACACGTGGAACAAACTGGCTTATCCATCTACTTATGGCCTGGCCCAGTGGTAAGCAATTGTCTCTACTGCCACCAGCAAACATCAAGACAGAGTCAGCTTTTCCTATTCTTCCTACAAGAACTCCTGCTTCATGACTATCATCTTGTAGACTCTATTAATTTCACTTGAGTTCCTCTGGTATTTAGCTCAGTTAGTTCACATAGGCCAGATCAAGATTCAAATCCATTCTCATTTATTAGGTAACTACTCTTTGACAAAAATACCTGATCTTCCCACATTCATTTTTTCATCTGAAAAAAAAAATGTAAGCAAATTTTCCTCACTGATTTAAGGCTCTAAAAGTTACTTTAGTTTGTGTGTTGGCCTTTTCTTCCCTTTATTTTCCAAACCAGTAATTACTAATGCACTCACAGACGACTTTAGACAGCCAGAAGCAGAAACGGAGATTGCTGAAAGCTGGTGCTATATCCCCAGCTGTTCTGTGGCCTTGGTAGACAATTCAGAAAGCATCACATGACTGTCTACTCCTTTTGCATTCCCAAGTTCCTTGTTCTATATTTTTTTCCTGAATCCAAATCAATCTGGAAGGTGCCATTAGAATTCCAAATGACATCATGTTGGGACCCTGCCTGTCTTGGTTTATTTTCCTATTGTTCCTAGGAAAGGTTGGTTTGCTTTATAGCTCATGGTTCTAGGCACCATTCACCATTTGAAGGGAGCCTCAGTGACAACAGCTTGAGATAGCTAGTAACACACAAGAGTCAAGAGGTAGAGCAAGAGGTGCCAGTGTTAACATTCGCCATTTATACAGTTGAGGATTCCAACTCAGGGAATGACATCACCCATATTTATAGTACATTTTCCCATATCAATTAACCTAATACAAATAATCCCTTAACACGCATTTCTAAAGGCTCAATCCATTCAGAGGTGTGCCTGTGGGCTTGTCTCTTGGGCAGTCCCAGACTCTGTTGACAATTAGCACTATTAAAGTTTCCTGACCACTCAAGGGTTGGCCAAGTGCTGCTCTGGTTTGCTTTCTGCGGCTGTGATTAAACACTTTGCCAAAAGCAACTGGGAAGAAAGGTTTATTCACCTCAGCTTACAGTTCTAGAGAGCAGTTATCACTGAGCAGTGTCTCAGCAGATCTGCTGGCAAGAACTGAAGCGGAGGCCATGGAACATCACTGCTTACTAGCTTACTCCCTTCACTCAGCCAAGCAGTTTACACAGCTCAGGCCTCCTACTCACTGGGGATCATAGGTGTAATTAGCAATCAAGACAGTGCCCAGCAGACATGTCCACAGGCCAGTATGATCTAGGCAAGTCCTCATTTCCCTCCTCCCAGGTGACTGTAGGTTGTATCCCTAGTGACACAGAGCTGAGCATGGAGCAGTACAGTTGGATGACTTCCAAAGGACAGCAAGTAACTACCCAGGAGAGCGAGCACAGACTCAGTAGTCTTATAAATATGCAAGAGCTGGCTCTACTTGCCCAGAAAGGGAGGATTTGTATTTAGTTATGTTTTATAATGAACAAGGTTGGGCTTTTTCCCATCATCTTACTTTGCGCCAGCTAATTTCAGTCATTTTTTTTCTAGGTTCTTTGTTTGTAACCTTTTCTAATTTGTTGGTTTAGTTTTCTTAATTACTCATTTCTCTCTGTACTGTTCCTATTTAGAGAGGGTCCTTTACAATGTAATTAAGACATTAAACTTTCCAAACACAATCTAAGTTAACAGTTTCCAGAGACCTATCAACCTACCTCTGGGGATGAGCTGTCTTCTAGATTCATCTTTTTGTTCTGCTCAACAATCTGCTCAGAACTGCTTTTCCTATCTTGCTCTGAAGTTTTCTTTTTCACATAATGGAAACAAAGACTAGGTCTTGACAGACAGCTCAGAGGTTAAGAGCTCTTCCAGAGGACATGGGTTCAATTCCTAGCACCTACATGGCAGCTCACAATGACCCATAATGCCAGGATACAACACCATCACAGAGATATACATGCAGGCAAAACATCAATGCACATAAAATAAAAATGAAAAATACATAAATTATATACACACACATACATATATGTACACAGACACACAGACACACACACAAAGAGGGCATCAGAGTCTTTGGAATTAGACATCAGCTAGTTACAGACAAAGTTATAAACCGTCACACAGATGCTAGGAGTTGAATACAAGTCCTCAGAAAGAGCAGCCAAGTGCTTTTACTTACTGAGCAAGCCATCTCTTCAGGACCTCCCGCCATACCATCTTAACCTTAACATTTCTTTACACTATAACACCCATTTTCAATCAAATATCACTAGAGGTTTCTTCCTGCCAGTATATTGGGGGTGTGTGTGTAAATATTTTTACTAGAAGACTTTATTTTCCCCTTTCAAGTAATTAGTCTGTGTGGAACAAACACTTGTCTCCTACTCTTTATTATGGCTATACCTTTCCTGGCAACCCTGGTATTTTAATAGTGCGTCCACACACACGCACTCACCCACAGACCCAATGCATGCATCCACTCACGCACGCACGCACGCACCCACACACATATCCCAAAGCATTCCTACTGCATCTTACAGAATGGTAGTATTTGCTAACCCTGTTCAAAAGGCTTTTGTATACCATCGACATAATAGCTGTGTCAAGAGCCACTGGGCTGTTACCCATTGTCTCCTGTCCCTAATGCTGACAGGAATAAGAGGTGCAGGTATAACCTCTAAGAGGAAGAAACCAATCCTGTGAAGGGGCACCACCATGTGAGCCCGCAGAGGTGGCTCGTTTTCCTACTTACCCTGGTGCACTCCACAAGCCCTAAAACTAGCCCCACCCCATCTTCCTGGAAGAGGTCTACTTTACTAAAACGTCAGTTCATGTCTTTCTACCTCCCATTGAACAGGTTCAACGACCTCCTCTTACGTTGCCGGGAACTGGATACTTGGACTCAAGACCTCAGCCTCCCAGCTGTTGTGTGGCTTTCTGGGTTCTTCAATCCTCAATCTTTCTTAACAGGTATGGCTGGAGGCAAAGCAGCCACCGCTGCTGATAGGGCCACATTCCTGGCAGAAGTCCTGCCTGGCTTTACCTGTGACAACTTCCTGCCTTTCTCCGCCAGTCTTAAAACAATCATTCCAAAGCAGGGGTAGCAATGGGGGTTCTAGTTAGGAAGGTGAGGGCCCTGGCATAGCTGCAGTAGTGTGGTATGTCCTAGAGAAAAACTATTGTCTGTCGGTGTCACACTGAAGGCACATAGGCAACTCAAAAGCAAATGGCAGTTGCTGCTCTGGTATATCCTCATTTGTGACCATGGAGGGCAAATTGGTCCTGCAAGCCTGTTTGCCCAGCCTAGCTCTAACCTACAATACCCTGTGGGATACTGTGGGCTATCAGGACCCTATAAACAGGTTTTTTATCTTCTTTGATTCCTCTTCCTTTTCCTACCAAAGCAATCATGCAGACCATGGCTCGAAAAAACGAGTGGCCACTGGACAAAATGTGTTTGACTATAGATGTTACTAAAAAGACAAAAGAAGATTATGGCCACCCGCCCAGAGAAGGTGCATACCTTCACGGGCTCCACCTGGAAGGTGAGTTCCTTAAAGAATGCATATGGAACTGCATTAGGTATAAGCTAGTCCCCTGTCCTTCAACATCTACTGAGATGATCATCTTATTTGATGACTATTTATTTCTTCCACCTCCCCTCAGACAATTTAAATATCCAAGTGTGTGTGTAATGTAAGCAAAACTGTGTGGCACTTGGGGCTGTCACATTAAACTGTACATACATTGTCAGCTGGCGCTAAAACTTCAAGAACAAGTCCTGCACGTAATTCATAGTATTTTGCTTTTTCACTTCTGTTTTAGTATTTTACTTCTATGAACAGATACCATGACCTAGGCAGCATTATAACTGGGGCTGGCTTACAGGTTCAGAGGTTCAATCCATTATCATCAAGGTGGGAACATGGCAGCATCCAGGTAGGCATGGTGCAGGAGGAGCTAAGAGTTCTACATCTTCATCTGAAGGCTAACAGAATACTGACTTTCAGGCAGCTAGGATGAGGGTATTAAAGCCCACACCTTCAAATAGTGCCACTCCATGGGCCAAGCATATACAAACCATCACAACTACCATCAATTCAAAATCTGCCCTCTGCTTTTAAGCTTTTATTGTGTGTAGAGGTCAAAGAACAGCTTTCAAGAGCTAGCTCTTTCTTTCTACCTTGTTTTCAAAGCTGCTATTTTCTCCAAACCACATACGCCAGGCTAGCCCACAAGATTGGCTTACCTAGAGTACAGGCATTACACATGTATTTACACATTTAGTTTTCAATATAGACTAGGGATGAAATTCAGGTAGTTGGGTTGCCAATACCTTTTTCCCACTAAGCCTTCTTGGCAGCCCCTGCCCTCTGCTTTCTAAAAGTTCTCAGTAAATCAACTCTAATATTCTGCTCCTGGGTGTCTCCAAGCCCTGAAGATACCGGTATCTCTATCTGAGCATTTATGCTGCAGGCCACCTCATCTACAGCAGCACACTCACTCTGAAGCAAACACCACAGTTCAGGTATCTCAAGGGCGGGTAGGGAATGACCTGAACTTGTTCCAAGCCTAAGTGCAATGGGAAAGGTTGTTAGAGAGTTGTGTGTTTTTTCCATTGGGGTTGAATTTGTCCAGAATTTGATCTTACAAAGCAGTTAAACCATTAAACATCTCAAACCACACAAGGATGCCACAGGCAAGCGACAATGTTGTAAAAGTGGAACATTTATTGCATGGAACAGTTAGAGATTCAGTACCAGCATGCTAGTTACACATCTTTTGTCTCTGCCACAGGTGCCAGGTGGGACATCCAGTCAGGAGCCCTTGTTGATGCCCGCCTTAAGGAGTTAACGTCCACGATGCCAGTCATCTTTGCCAAAGCCATACCAGTGGACAGACAAGAAATTAAGCATGCCTATGAGTGCCCTGTTTACAAAACCAAAGCAAGAGGCCCCACCTACGTGTGGACATTCAGGCTAAGGAGTAAAGACAGGATAGCTAAGTGGGTGCTGGCAGGCGTGGCTCTACTGCTAGAAGCATAAACAACCTTAGTACTACAACTCGTTCCTCTGGCTTCAGCCAGACACAGTGACTATGTTTTAGTAACAGGAGTATACATTCTTCTGTTAGAGAATTATTCTTTGAGGAGGGAGAATAATCAGTACACAAGGACCAAACACTAAATGTCTACAAGGAATGAGTACTTATCAATTTTAGCTTCCTCTAACTCCCATTTAAAACACCACGGCTTATCTCGTATCCGTAAGTCTCGGGAAGAACTCGGTGAGGGTTCTATAAAAAAGCAAAATCTCTAAAACAATTTTTTAAAAAAACATAGAAGCAGCAGGCTCCAGGCAGGTCCTGAAGGAAGAGGCAAGCACACTGAGGCCTCCAGTGTCTGTTTCTGTTGTCTCTTAATAAAAGAGGACACCTTACTCACAGTGTGTGGTTAATTGCACTTGGTAGTTTAGAGTAACATTCTTTCAAATTTTTTTTTTTTTGGATTTTCGAGACAGGGTTTCTCTGTATAGCCCTGGCTGTCCTGGAACTCACTCTGTAGACCAGGCTGGCCTCGAACTCAGAAATCCGCCTGCCTCTGCCTCCCAAGTGCTGGGATTAAAGGCGTGCGCCACCACCGCCCGGCCTAGAGTAACATTCTTCAATACAGATTTCTAATGACCCAGAATTCAATATCCAGAGCAGGATAAACTATCAGATTTGAGCTATGGTCACTCGGGAGGCAAAGCAACAGCCTCTGTAGGGAGGGAGCTGACCAAAGGCAAGAGCTGTTAGACAAGGTTTTTTTTATAACTTACCTGAGCTTTAGCTCTGCCTCATTCAAACTGTGCTTTAAAATCTTCAGCAGACACTTGTAACAATACAGGTCTGTGCAGTTACGTATATAGATCTCTCCGCTTTACTATTTTTCCTGAGAAATCTTTTTAAGCATATAAACATTTAAAAAAAACAATAGGAGTAGAACCAGTAAATTCTAGAAAACAAGCGTATAAGGCTGGCACAAAGAGCAGATCAGTCTTGTGGGACTCGGCCTGGTAAGTTCGAGCGATCCCCGTTCTCTACTGTCTTCTACAGCTGCTTCTGCAAGCTAAAAGAAAGATGGTGAAGTGTCAATAAGGAGCTGACCAGATGCAAGCAATGGAAACAGCACTCTAGACTAAGGTGGTCCCAGAACACCCAGGGTGCACACTCAGACGCGGCTCCACATGCCCTGAGTACAGACTGCCAAGTGTGTCTCCACACACTTCCACACTTCAGAGTTCCTTAAACAACTTGACAGTTGGGAACTGGGGCCCACCTTGCCCAGTGCACACTGTTCAACTCTCTGCTTCTTCAGATTGTAGAGGCTGATTTTTTTTTTTGGATTGTTCTCAAGACAATTCTTTTGCTCCCCAAGTGAAAGTGTTGGTTTGAGCCACTGTGGAGTTGAGTACTCTATAACAGAGGTAGGAATTCTCTCTGCCCTAGCCTCTCCAGGACCAATGGACACGGGATGGAAGGGGCTCTGAAGTGAGCTGAAAACCATGGCCTAGAGGCTCTCCCACACATCACTGCTACACTCACCTCTCCAGGTACTCCTTGACATTATCATAACCATAGAACTTGGCCAGGTGAATGAGAATCCCGGTGGCACAGCGGCCGTCTCGCCTCCGGCAGTAACTGCAATTGCAGATCCCACGGCAGGGAGGACATGTCCACTTCTAGGAGGCAGAGGAGAGATTGTTCCTTTTATCCATAGTCTACACAGGAGAGTTAGGTTCGAGCCTCTGCTCTAGCCACTAACTGCACAGTGTCCTTCAGTCAGAGTGTATGAGGGACTAGCCAATGCCTCTCTTTTCAGCTTCACAGGGATACAGCAAAGGTGACCATGCCATGTCAAAAAAAAAAAAAAGATCCAGGCATGTCTGTTCTAGACATGACCAGATACCACTGAGGTGGAACTATTTAAAAAAAAATTAAGGTGGCTTCTAAGTTCAGGACCCTATGTGATTCACAGGTTATGCATGCATATTGGCTTTGATTTTAGGAGTACAGGTTTGGCACAAGATCCAGGTAAGAATTCCAGCTCTCCTGATATGTAACTTTAATGTTAAATCACTTAGTCAAAACAGTATGTCTAGAAACTGGGGATTGTGTGTGTATATGTATATACATATATACACATACCTATATGTATGTATACATATGTATACATAGAAGTTGAACACAGATCCCCAAGTGGCAATGCTCAGATTCAAGGCAGCACTTATAGACCTGTTCAACTCTCTGCTCTTCAGACCGCAGAGGCCAATGTTTAGTTTTGGATTGTTCTCAGGACAATTCTTTTGCTCCATAAGTGAAAGTGTTGGTTTGAGCCACTATTCCCACTCTATAACAGAGGTAGGAATTCTCTCGGCCCTAGCTTCTCCAGGACCAATGGACAGAGTTTGGAAGTGACATTTTACTTCTCATAGGGATCTGAAGCACAAAACAGGTGAAACTGCACACCTCAAAAGGGAAAATGGGAATGGCAGGGAGATGCTGAGTTTAACCAGAGTCCACATGCAAATGTCTAGGGATGGTGGTGTGCACTGGGCAGAGAGAGGGGAGAGGATCCTTGGAGTTTACCAGACAGTCTAGCCTGACTCTTGATAATAACAGCTAGAGTTGCCCTCTGCACACAAATGCAGCGCCACACACTCCTCTTTGTTATAAAATGCCTTGGTGGTAAACAGTGTCAGCAGGTATGAGACACAGCACCATCCTGGGGCAGCAGGAAGTCCTTAACCGTGACTTACCCCCTGGAAAGGCCAAGACAGATGAGATGGAATCACTGCTAGAGGAAAAGAACAGGGTCCTACTGAAATAAACCCTGGGTTGGCCATTGGAAACCCCTACAGAACCTCTTCACCCCAAGCTGTCAGTCACCTGGTCCTCCTTCATCGCCCCCATTGTCTTAAGATGTAGAAGGGGAAATCGAATCAGAAGAGTACTCTAGCTCCCCCTAGCTCCTCCCCGGGCTTGCACCTTCATCCAAACATTCATAACAAATGCACCCACACACTGCTCCTTACCGGATCCAGCAACGCTGTCCGCACATCCTCTCCATATCGATTCCGAAGGCACGGCCCACAGAACTGTCCCCGCACACCGCCACAGCCCTGGTTCCGACAGACCGTCTTGGTATCGATGGTCTTCTGCCGGCACTGATGGCACGTGTTACCCTGCGGAAAAAGCAAAAGAGGTGGAGGTGAGATTTATGGGGACAGGGTACAGGAGTACGGCCTTGCCCAGAATCCAGCAGGATTGCTATGAGGGACAAACCATGTGGACAAACCTTTACTTTAAGCATTTCAATTCTAGGGCCAGAGAAGCACCTTGGGTAGATGAGGCTAAGCAAGGGACACAGAAGGAATCAACAATCAGGGACAGAAGAGAGACCAGAGGAAGGGTTGGTAAAAAATTGAGGAAGGGACGATAAAACCCCTAAGAAGGGACAGGTAACTTAAGTGTCAGTGAGCTCCAGGTAGCATGAACTAATCCCGATCTACTGCTGGAGACCTGGAAACCTTCCATATAAAATCTTGTTTTGAAAGGTTGGCAATTCAACTGACACTCTACTATTTTAAGTAGTATTAAACAAAACATATAGAAAATGCAAAGCCTCTCTGCGGATCATCATTTAGAAAAACATAACTACTTCATACCAACCAGAAATGCTACTTTGAGTATATAAGGTATGTTACTCCCACAGATACTTTCAATTTTAACATATAAAATATAAACAATGCTTTTCTAATCCAGTAGCAATCTTCTAGGACACATGCCCCAGGGAGCCCTCTCCCCTGAGCAGGATCACTATGCTAGGTGGTCTGCCTTCTCCCAGGTACAGTAAATCCTTGACCACACAGCTCAGAGCAAACCTCCAGGAGGACAGCACAGGGACAGAAGGCCTGATGTCATTTATAAGCGATGTCAGATTTCGAATGCCATTGTGTTGGAGGGTATCAGTGATGCACACTCTTCTGAAGATGTTACTTACAAGCACTTTATCATAGACTTTATCACGCACAGTTATGGCAATGTTTTCCAAGTCTCCGTCAGTGATGTCTTTCACGGAGCGGAAAGAAGATATCCGGTGACGTCTATACCTCTGGCATTTTCCCTGAAGGAGAAAACAGAACCAGGGGAACCTGTCACGAATCTGCACACTGAAAACCAGGACGAAAATCTTAAACATGCTTAGAGAGCGAAGGCTGACTGAGTCTCTTTTGTCTGTGTGGTCAATTACTGGACTCCAGCCCCAACCCACACTCCCTTGAGAGAGCAATACAGCATTGACTGAGGAGCTACAAACTTAGAGCAGACAAGGAAGTAAACAGCCATGCCCACATATGGGGCAGCTCCCAAGTTCTCCCCTCTTCCCCAACAGCCACTCCTGAAGCAGACAAGGAGGAACTCTTGCACCTTCCATACTACAAAACCACAAAGCTGGTTTGGCTGTTTGCTGGTAAAGAGTTGGATCAAAGCCAGGGCCTCCTGTGTGCTGGGCAAGTCCCTGAGCCACCCAAGCTCCTCCTCTCATTTCAGACAAAGTTATCTCCAGCTTAGCCCAAGGGTCTTCTCAATGCATGTTCTCAGAGGACTATAGTGGATACTCAAGTTCTCAACTGCTGGAAGCCTGCTGACTCAAGACTACACTACAGCCAGCCCCAGCATAATGAAATACTTGGATTTGAGGCCCATTTGCTTATTAGTAATTACCCCACTGATTGTCTTTCTTCTTCTGAAACTGTAAAGCTCTTCAGTAAGCTTGGTGGCTGAGAAGGTGAAGTTATCCAGAGCAAACTTCTCTGGGGGTCGTGCACTCCGGGTTGGGTTCATGCGCCGTGTGATCTGTCCCTCTGAGAAGGCCCGTCGTGGTGTTCTCCTCCTCTAAAACCGAAGACACGGACAGACGTAGCTTAAACAGAAGGCTATGGGTTCCCAGAAGCAGGGCCAGTCTGAGATATCAGGAGTTCACTTACAGAAGCTGAAGGTGGTGTCCGCACAGGGAAGAAATCTGGAACCGAATTCAATTCCGCCAACAACTGAGCGAGCTAAGGTTCAGAAAGAAAAGGGGATCTGACGTCAGTCAAGGAGACAGGTCTGGGACCAACACCTCTTATAGCTCTCTGAACTACCTACTATAGCTTCCATAAATCTCGATAACTGTTAATAGCCTCATGTAAGAATTCACCTCCCAAGTAAAAGGAAGACATCATTATTCATCTGAGTCAGTATCATGCCCCCTCCTTATATACAGAAACAACAGAACACAATGAAGACATGTTTATCTTGGCACGTTTGGGGCCAGGAACATCAGGTCCCGATTTCACCGCTATCTTAGCAGTATGACCTGGAGCACATTTTACAAACCCGATGAAAATCAATCATCACCATGTCCAGTTAGCTGAATGACCCTCAGAACTCCCAAATCACACTAACTGGGGCTTAAGTGGTAGTACATGCTGTAGTCCCAGCAACAGGATGCAGAGGTAAGAGGGTCAGGATCAAGACCGGGTCTCCCTGCAACTGTACCTCAAAAATCCTAACCTCCATACATATATCTGTCACTATCGCCAAAGACCTAGCATCAATCAACCAGGCTCCTTACTCAGGAATTTCAGATTTTAGATTCATGTAAACATGACACCACCAAGAACAACCACATATACAGATAAATACAGCCAGATAGCGTGTTAAAATTTCCTTTAGCCAAGCACCCCAGTCTTATACAAACAAAATTCACATGTTACTATGTTCTCTTAATTTACTAGGTGTAGGTCTGTGTAGAAATTATCAGTCATTGTGCTTTTTTTTTTTTTGGTGGGGGGAAGGCATTTAAGAAGCCATCAACGAGGAGAAAAAAAAATTATGACTGGTAGAATTTCTTTTTAATTTTGCCAGTGTAAAATTAGGAAGATTGCTTTCAATGATTGGGCTGAGTTACCGACCACACAAAGAAAATCCAAATACATGTAACAAAAGTTGCTATAGGTTGAACTAGCCACTAGCCAAGACATACTGAATTAGAACATGGCAGCGGCTACTTCAACTGTAGCCATTTCTTATTCCTTCAGATGATGTCTCTGAAGAAGTGACTTTCAGACAGAAGCTACTACCGGCCCACTGCAATTCTCCCTGGGCTCAGTGACAACACAGCTCCTCTTTTCTGCTGGGGACAGTGCAGCTGGTCAACCCCTCTATCCCCAGTACCTCTGGCCAACTTAGAACTTAAGCCTGTTCAACCATGAGCAGCAGAATCCTGCCTCCTTGGAACAGGGATAGTTCTTGAATCTTTCCATCCCCCAAACCAGAGCTAATCCTGTAACAAATGTGCCCCAGGGTATACTTTCCCTCCAGAGAGCAAAGCTATGTCAGCAACCCTTGGGGCAGCTGGCTATGGTCCCAGCTGCTGCAAGAGCGTACCATGGCCTTGTTCTCTTTGATGTTCATGGCCCTTTTCAGCAGAGCATCCGAATTCTCCTGGCTCTCAGCCCTGGACTCATCCTCAGCGTCAGAAGCAGATTCTTCCTTCTCCTTGGGCTGTCTGGAGCTCTTGTCTCTTCCGAGATCAGTCTTACTGTCCAGCAAGTGTGAGCTATTTCTATCTGGTGTTTTTGCCAACTTTTTGGTGGGGAACTGAAAGGCTACCCGAAGACCAAAACTGCTTCTCTTGGACCTGCGTCTTCTAGGTGCAGGCTCCTCTTCGTCATCTTCTTCCTCGTCACTCATCACAGGATATGGTTTGTCATTGTCGCTCAGCTCCGACTCTATGAGCTAAAGGACAAGGAGAAAGAAGAATGAAGACAGTCGGTAAACACCTACGAAAACTAGACCAGGCGACTGTGTTCAAAACTGTTCTAGGTGGGAATGTTCTAGGTCAGAATTTGTTCCACTACATGCAGAACAAGAGAGCCAACTGATGATGCAATGAAACCTTCAAGCTGTGGGCCACACACAGTATACCCTGGTATTCTGTTCTAGTAATGGAAAGCTTATTAATACTATAATCAAGTTTGTGAGTGGGCCTACTCTGAATTGTGTGTGTGTGTATGTGTGTGTGTGTATCATCTATCTGTCTGTCTATCTATCCCATATACAGATAGGTATGTATACATATCTCTATATATACACACACACACATATGACACCATATACACACACAGATATGTATAATCTCACACAGATTCTAAGGAAGAGGGGCTTTGGGAGCAATTTACTTTCCCTCATTAGAAACAAAAACTCCTTAACTAGGTATCACTGAGCTAAAGAACTACTAGTAGTTAAAGAAGTCACCTAGATGAAACCTATCAAGTTTTGGAAGATCTTAGTGTCTTGCTGGTGACAATCTGAAACATCTGGGAAAAAACACTGGGCAGAGCAAGTTGTCTGAGGAGGAGCATCTGCTGGGAGAAGAGTGGGTGAGGCAGCCATGCCTTAAGTGATGCCTGAGGGAAGGAAGGAGAGGGATAGAGAAAGCCACCATCACCCCCAACTGTCCTTCTGCAGGTTCCGTGTCCAAGGTTGTGTAAAAGCTGATGACATCAAATAGGCATAAACCAGCTCACCTCACCAGCAAAGGGAGTGGTAGTATATCTATTTTCAGATAAATATTCTATTTTCCAGTTATCATTAAACACTTATCCCTTTTTAAAAACATCTGCCTCAGGATGTCTCTATGAATCAGTTAAAAATACAAATTTTAAAAATTATAAAGAAACACTTAATGCCATGTGATACTTGGGGACAGAACAGAAAGGGCACATTAACGAAAACTTGAATAAATTCCTTTTAAAGGTGTTAATGTAGTGACAGCAATACACTAACACTAGTTTCTTGTTTTTTACAAACATATCACAATCATGTAAAGGAAGACTAGGTTACAGTATACAGGGCTTCCGCATCCTGCATCTTTAACTTTATAAGCCTAAAACTATTCCAATAAAACATTTAAAACAGTCAGACATGGTGGCTCATGCCTGGTATCTCAGGTGGATGCCAAGGAAATGTTACATGTTTCAACCTGGGCTATGGTGTGAGATCTTGCCTCAAAACACTACCACCAACATCATCTTCACCTTCACCACCACCACTGCCGCCGCCACCGCCACCGCCGTAGTGATTTAAAGTAACCTAAGATTGAAAATGCTAGTGTGCAAACCCTAACCCCAATAATTGGAGTAAAAGAAAGAGATCCACAAGGAAGCCCTTTTATAGTACAGGACCCAAGGCAGAGTCCCCAGGACCGAGTTCCCAGGACCCTGGTACTCCTGAGTCATCAGTACAATTAGAAAAATCCAAACCAGGAGGCATGAGCCCCCCACTCTGCTCTATCACCCCCATTTTGCAAAATTAGCTTCTAGCCTAAGAATCTAACTTTATATCCAATAAGACACAGCCTGAAGGACCAAGTTACCCTGAGGCAGACTGAATAGACAAAAGAAGATGAAGGCAAGATACGCCTTTGACCCGCAGGGCTAAAGGGATCGTTTTTCTCTAGGATTCTAGGGGACAGATATGCCTGTGGACCAGGCAGGACCACCAAATACCACCACCACCACCAAAAAGCCATCTTTCCATGTGTAATGTAACATGGGTAAAAGTAGAACTCAAAACCAGGACTACAAACATTATAGCCCACATCTCTTGTGTTGGTCATTGCTACTGTTACCTCTGGGTTACTGTTCACGTTCAGCTCACTCTCCGTAAATCCTTCAAAATCTTCAGTTTCTGAGTCCGTGTCCTCTTTGAAAATCCTTCTAAGTTCTTCTGTGAAGTATTTGGAATGGAAGCACACGTTCTCCTAAATTAAAGACAGACTTGAGTGAGACATGGTGGCACAGACTTAGAATTCCAATATGCTGAGAGGAAAGGCAGTAAAGGTGGAGGCAGGATTCCAACCCAGAACTATACATGGTGAGACCTTGTCTCAAAATTCAACTACCACAGCCGGGCAGTGACGGCGCATGCCATTAACACAAGCATTAGGGAGGCAGATCTGTGAGTTTGAGGCCAGCCTGGTCTACAGAGGTAGTTCTAGGACAGCCAGGGATACACAAAGAAATCCTATCTCAAAAAGAAAAGAAAAAATCAACTACCAGGAAGAGAAAGGAAAAAGAACAGCAGTTACAGGGTCATTGAAGAGAGATGAAACTCACTTGTATCTAATGGACAAGACTTTCTATTGAGAATGGTCTGTAGATGGGCAGAGGAGACAGCTACATAACACTATACAATATCCTTAATGCCACTCAAAATGGCTACAGTGACATGTTCTGCATTATGTGTCTTTTACCACAACCACAATAAAACACAGAGCATGTATTTTCCTCCCTCCCTTCTGGGTGCCTGGTTGAGCACAGCCCTTGAACCCCAGACCTTTATCTGACGGCAGGTGTTTGGCTCTGCTCCTGGCCCGGTTCTTTTCATTTAGCTTCAGCCCTCCATAGCCCCTCCCACAGAGAGGTCTATGGCCATCAGTCACGAGTAACAGTGCCTCAGACTCTCCCACATGTAGATGAGGTATCTCCAAGCTCTCAGACCAAGCCAATAGGCGTTATCTGCTGCCAGACCCTAACCCACCCAAAAACTGTATATAAGGGCTCTATTCAGGAGAAGTAAAAAGGTGTGCAAGAATCATCCTGGTGTCCAAGAGTTTCTGTCGAAAGAGCTGAAACACTTGGGAAGAGATCTGCTCTTCCAGAGCCTGCCTGGGACACCAAGATGCCTCCTTGCCAGCTAGCTGGCTTCTTATAGGCCCAGCCCAGGGCCGGCTCAGCACAGAGAGACAGGCGCAGCACCTGGGAGTGACCAGGCGGCGACAGTGGAGACTCAAGCAGAGGCAGCAGCAGAGGCAGGCGATCTCCCCTCCTTGCTCGCACTCTGTCACCTTGGCCCGGGCCCCCCCCCCCCGAACTAGACAGGGCCAAAGATCATTGTGGGACGCCGGAACAGGGGACCCATACCTTCCTTCCTTCTTTCCATATCCTTGGCTGTCCTAGAACTCACTTTGTAGATGTGGCTGTCCTCAAACTAAGAGATATACCTGCCTTTGCCTCGGAAGTGCTTGGATGAAAGGCAATGTGCCACCAGGCCCAACTCACAGCAGGCATTTTCTAAACCTTATAGAAATGAAGACCTACAAACAAGAAATTTTCTACTAATACAATGTCTCAATCACTTCTACTATGGCTGGGGAGTGTTAATGGAGTTCAGAGTTTCCTGCCCCGGGGTGGCTTTCCCACAGAACTGCAAACTTTCATGGAAAGTGGACGCCTCAGGCTGCTTTACTCCCCACAGCCATATGGAGCAGTCTCCTGTAGGTGGGCATGTATCTCCTTCAAAAACAGGGAGTACCAAGGCCCTCACATCCTCACCCATTGCTACAGCCTGGACTTGCTCCATTTCCAATGATGCCAACGTGAGGAACTGATGGGAATCTAGACCCTCCTCACACTGGGGCTCCCCTCTTGCCAGACTGAAGGGTGAGCAAAGACATTTTCCAATAATGACTTTTACTTTCTTTGGAAATACTATAAAGAAGGAGGGAAGCCTAACTCTCCAAAGAGTGTGTGTGAAACAGAAAAGAGGAATGCCAAGCTAAAAGGAAGACTCTCTTGTAGCTACCTATAAGGTTAAAGCACTGCACCAGGATTCTGATCCTTGTCCCCAAACCCATAAAGCAGTGACCTCTCATAGCACCATATTTGGTTGAGACCCTTTACTTCATTGCTGCCTTTTTCTAGCTTTAATTATATACTTCTTCAGATTCCCATATCTTTGGGGAAGAAAACAAATATAATGGAAATATGTAACAGTGGGATACTTAGAGGGCAATGGAGAAAGAAATGCCTACAGCTAGCACTCTAAGCTTAAGAATGTCTCCTATGAATTATTATGGGTAATTGGAGTGAGTTTGCTCAGAGCTAAATTACTTCCTTCCTTTGTTGTTAGCTGTGGTGCAGCTGCAAAAAAAAAAAAAAAAAAAAAAAAGAAGAAGAAAAGAAAAAGACAAAAGGGAAGTTTATTTAAAGAGAAACTCGAATTGTGTTTAAGGGAGGGAGCCCAGAGTCAGCTACACACACTGTATGCAAGTCTATGCCATTTCTCTCAGCTGGATGAAATGAATCACAAGTGTGTGAGTCAAGTGAGCCTTAGACCAGGGTTTAAAGTTAATAAAAGAACAAGTGTGGGGCTAGAGAGATGGCCCAGTGGTTAAAAGCACTTGCTGTTTTTGCATAGGATATGAGTTCTGTTCCCTGTACCCATGTGGCAGTTTAGAACCATCTCTAACTCCAGTTTCAGGGGTTAAACACCTCATAGAATTGGGGCACATATACATGAGCAGACAAACTCATACACATGAAATACACCTAAAGAAAAACAGACAACAAGTGTAACACAGCTGCCTGCTAAGGAAACCCACCCAGTACAGGAAACATCTGGCCAGCCCCTGGGGGCTTTTCTAGGGCAATGGCCTCAAAGCATAAGTTCAGTAAATATCCAAAGATTCTGTACAGAACCTGAAAGAGAATGAGTCTAGACTTAAAGGGTCAAGTTCCAACCTTCCAACCTTCCTGGAAATTTTTATCCTAGGAAATGGTGATCAGTCCTGATGGAATTAAAACAACTTTGCTACGAGCTTGCTCTCAGGGGCATAAGAACTGTTTTCCACGTGGTTCTATAAAGCTAGTCTCCTCGGCAGAGCCTCATTGAATGCTTTGTTTTCTGAAAGCTGCTCATTATGCTACCAAGGCATACCAAGTAACCAGTATCTACTTGGACGAACGCTGTAAGCAGGAGGAGATATCAGAGGCGATTGGGTGGTTTATTCTGAGCCCATCTGACATGAGACAGAGGACTGGAGAGCCACGGCCTGTGTATCAGTGAGACGGGCATGTTCCAACTGCACCAACAAACATTCGAGGGTGCTTACTGTGCATGGTGGTGCAGAGGGCTGCATGCTTGAAACAAGATCAAAGGTCAGGGCCCGGGAAGGTAGAAAACACCCTGCAGCTTTAAGTTCCTCCTTTGAGGGGATGCAATCTGTACTCATATCTAGGCAGACACATATGTTCCATCACACAGAGGAAAAAGGAATCCACCCAGTAGGAAGGGTCAGGGAGGATTGGCTATGCTGAGGGACACCCAGTTTATCTGTGCTGTCACCGCAACAGGTAAAGAGAAAGTGCCACGGGAAGAGGCTAGAAAATGGTGATCTGGATTTGCAACAGCCAACCTCACTGAGTACTTTCCAATGTGGTACGCTGGCTAAGTCTTTCACCTCCTGAGCTTCAGTTTCATTGGTACTCACTCCACCACCCTCTGGAGTACTCAAGAGTAAAATCAGTATCTCTATGAAATGCAGGTGGCACGCTCTGGTGGCCAACCACGTCTGCTGGGGGTGCAGTCAGCCCTGGAGACTGCCAAGGCTGGACTGTAAAGCAGTTGTCATAGCAGCAAAAAAACAGTCGATGTCTCAGGATACCCACATGCTCTCTGTATGTCTCAGTGTCCCTTGGTGTGATGGCTTCACTCTCCCTCTCTAACCATGGGCAAGGAGACTGGAGGCTTCTGAATAACATAAGAGCCTGACCCATGCTCAGTCCTACTGATCCCAGCAAGACAGGGCTGAGTGCTAGAGCAGCTTCAGACAGCAGAGAGATGAAGAGAGGTGTATGAGGGCACCAGAGTTCCACCAACTCCTGAGAATTAGTCACAGTGACTGGAAACGACAAGACAGCAATGCAGTAGTTGGAAAGATGGAGAAGTAAGTAGCAAGCAGGAGAGAATGGTGGTGAGTTCAGCTTCCTAGGAGACAGGCAGGAAACGCCAGGCTGCACATAAAGACCATCCAACTATTTCAGAGAAAACAATGGTCATTGATGGCCTTCACCTGGGGAAAGCAAGTGTACCTCAGACAGAAATCAAAGGAAAACTAGCGGAGAGTTTATGCTAGACAAACTATGCTAGACAACAATGCCAGTTTAGTGGCAGCAAGACAGCTAATCTTAGTGTGGTGTGTGAACCCTTGCGCTTTGGAAAGAAGAGTAAGACCAAACAGAATTGCAAAGCATGCATGAAAAGACAAAAGACCTCATGTACACAGATAAAGGGACACCAGACAGTGGCACAGTCTATAAGCTCAGCACTCAGGAGGTAGAAACAGGCAGGCTTTCTGAGTTCAAGACCAGCCTAGTCTACAGAGAGTTCCCAGCCAGCCAGTACTACAAAGCAAGGCCCTGTCTCAAAATAAGGGGAGAAAGGGAGAGGACTGCAAAGGCCGACATTCGAATTGACAAAAACCGTAAAGAATAAGGGTTCTGCAGTGACTCAATCTGCTATTGTGGTATAAATCATTACAGAAAGGATTAATAAATGTAAAACTTAAAAATATATATGGTACCAGTTGCAACTGATTTGACTTGATGAGTTCATAGAGTACAAAGTTCTGGGGACAAATACCTTATCAGGTTTCTCCATCTAGGGAAGGGAAAAAAAGAGGTCTAGGGAAAAGGCTGAGCAATGACATAAAAAAAAAAAATAATAATGAGAGAATCCCCATATCCCTGGAAGTACAGATCCTACCAAAACCAAACCATACACAGCTCCCAAGTAACAGGGCAGGACTAGCTGACTCCTTCCCTGGACTGGCCTACCTGAAGCAAGGTGGGTTTAATTTACATCCTGTTAGTGAAGAGGCGATAAGAACTCGGAGGAAGAATCATGGAGGCTAATCATATGACTGGTTGCTGTGTGTTAGGTACAATATGAACCTCTCAGAGAATAGATACCTTTCAGAGAACTGTAACTCACGTTGCTTCGTCCAAGGTCATTAAATAATACTGCAAAAGGTTCCAAAAGGTTCTGCAAAAGTGGAATAATAGAATCTTTGTCTCACAGCCACAGACTGCTTTGACCTGTGTGGGACATGAAGCAAACCTAGCTCTCCCCTGCTGTGAGAGCACTCAATGGAGCCTTGCCACAGGCTTCCCTTCCTTTACGACTCTGTCCATAGCTAGGATTAAAGTAACAAACATGCACAGAGACCTCTCATCTGTTTCTGGAAACATGATGGCAAAACTCTGATGATCAACTCAGGATCTGTACTAAGATGAGGAAGCACTAGCACCCTGCCACAGGCTTCCAGAGGGCCACACCTGTCTTGAAAAGAAAGACCCATACCTGTTTCTCCAACTCCAGCGAGTCCAGACTACCACAGCTCTCTGATAGGTTTTCCATGGGAACGTCATCCTGGAAACCCACAAACTCTTCATCATCACTGGGAGCATTGAAGATGTCGGCTATTTCCTTGGGTATCTGTTTTGGATTCAGAAGAAAAGGATGCTGGGATCACTGGAGCAGAACTAGCATTGCATCCTTAACCCTGAGCAACAATGTTTCAGTTAAGATCCCACAGTGGGAAAAAGTGGGCCTAAGCACATTAGTTCCAATTCTAGGTTTATATACACCTCTCCTTCCAATTAATGTGTAGCCATCCTAGACAGAAGCTACTTTGGAGAGCTCTTTCCCCTGACATTAACTCACCATGTAAGATTCCAGCTGGTAAGCTCTTAACTTTGTTGTCACCCACTGTTCTTTAATTTTGGTTATCCGATGTGGGTTCAGAGATGAACGTTTGTTCACACACCCAAATGAGCGGCTTTCCCTTTTCTATACTTGAAGTCAGTTAAAGCAGCTGTGAAATTAATAGAACTTAAATGCTATTAGTGACAGTCACCCTCAGAGATCCATGTCTGTCCAAACTAATAAATATGCATCTGTGGGGATAGATGTAAGCTGTTTACTCCCATCTATTTATTTAAAACAAAACAAAACCAGCACCTATAGACTCATCATCTGAAATCACTGTTTGTCTGCACATCTGTCTTAGGGTTTGTACTCCTGCACAAAATATCATGACCAAGAAGCAAGTTGGGGAGGAAATGGTTTATTCAGCTTACACTTCCACATTGCTGTTCATCACCAAAGGAAGTCAGGACAGGAACTCACACAGGGCAGAAACTTGGAGGCAGGAGCTGGTGCAGAGGGCATGGAGGACTGTTACCTACTGGCTTGCTTCCCCTGGCTTGCTGAGCTTGCTTGCTTATAGAACCCAGGACTACCAGCCCAGGGATGGCACCACCCACAATCAGCCCTCCCAGCCTTGATCACTAATTGAGAAAATGCCTTACAGCTGGATCTCATGGAGGCATTTCCTCAAGGGAGGCTCCTTTCTCGGTGATAACTCCAGCTTGTGTCAAATTGATACACAAAACCAGCCAGTTCAACATCTGTTCTGCTTTCCAAGAAAAATCAGGTTAAATTTTGCTGCAGTTTGACTGTCTTTAGAAGGGGATCCTTTAGAATAGCCAACTTAAATCTGTGCACCCACAGTGCTTAAGGAGTCAAGACAACCATAATCATAGTAAGAAAAGTAAGCCAGAATCAGAAAGATAAACATCTTATTTTCTCTCATTTGTGGTCCCTAGATGTTTTATAAATTATAATCATATATACATACAAGACATAAAGAGGTAAGTCAGACTGTCAGACACAAGAAATAGGAGTGGAGCAGAGAGTTTAAGTTCCTAAGGACACGACTCATTGAGCAATGTTTTCTACCCTTGTCTTGGTAGACACCTTTGGTAGCTCAGTCACCAGAACTCATACCTGCAGTAGCACCAAGGGAAGCAGTGTGTCAACTTCAGCCTCTCCTCCCTTTGACCTCTAACTACCAGAGGGACACAATACAGAATGGATTTCTGTTGCAGTAGGCAATTCCTCGCTACCTGCCCCAATGTTCTGGGTTGCCAAGTGAAAGACACACACACAAAGCCTTTTTAATATGCCTTAAATAGCTCAATGGCTGGGCCACTCCCAGACCTCCATGTAATTAACACCTCCCCTCCGATACTCCTGAGTTATTACTTACTAAAAATCTATATTCCATCTTTGCTGCCCTAGACTCAATGTAGGGCAGGGGGCTGGGGCCGCTCTTCCCTGGTTCTTACATGATTGCTACGCTCTCTCTCTCTTCTGCAGCTTTCAGGACTGGACTTGACTCTTTTCCCAGCATAGCGATTCTGAGTCCTTCTTCCTCCCTTGGTCCCCTTGCCCAGGAATCTTAAAGTCCCACCAAGGTCTCCCTGTCCAGCCATTGGCCGCAGGCAACTTATTTATCAATCAGAACCAACTGGGGGTAGGAACCCTCAGAATCTTACATCCAGATTCCTGTGCAATTTTGGGAACACAATTAACATACTACAAGTGTTAGATTAAATCTACAACAGATTTCAGAGCACGTGCATGAGCAGGGAAACTTTAAGGCAGGATGACAACTGTTAGAACCATGTCTTGGCAGAGGTACTATGTCTGATATATCCCCCTCTCCCCGCCAGCAGCCATAGCTTCTGCATCTGCTCTAGATGCATCACTGTGTCGTCGCTGACTGGGAATAAAGGAAGACCACACTAACCACACGATAAGTGGTGGGCTTGCTCTTGCCGCCAAACTCTAAACGGTGTTTGAAGAAGTTCTGCAGATTCTGGACTTCTGGATAAGCTCAAATGTAGTTCATGAGTCTTAGGGTTTGACATTTAAAGTTGCTGGGTGAAAAATACCAACTACCGATAAAGGCAAAGCACATCGGAATAACATCAGACCTCTCTCGTAGGCAACCCTCAAAATCAAGAGAGCACGCAATACTTTAAGCCATGACAGTAACTAAGGGTACCATCCCTACCGCCTTAAGTAATTTTTTAAAAATTGACTCAGAAACAAAGACATGTCAAGAACAGATGAGCAAAGGACAGCTAGGAAGAAAAGCATTATACCCAACAAAGTAAACCAGGGAGACCCAGAATACTAACAGGAGGGTGGACAGGAGTGGGGAACAGGAAGTGGGGAGCAGAACAAACTATAATACAGCCAAGGAGAAAACCTTAACTGGCAACATTTTCTGGAATTAGACATTACAGGAATTAGCAAACCTCTCATAAAACCTTAAAGAGTCTCAACTCACAGCTAAAAAGACACTGGGAAGGAAGCTTCAATGACATGGCTCCTTTAATGGGGGAAACAGAAGCCACTTAAACCTTGAGTAGGAGCTTTTTTGCCTTGAGTGTGTATCACTGGCTGGAGTCAGAGCAGAAGCTGGGATGCCTCATTTGCATAAGGAGGAATTCCAGGTGCTGCCTGTCTTCGGTGTAGGGCACGGGGTGGAGCATGGGGCATGGGATGGAGCACGGGGCGTGGGGTGGTGTGAGGGGGTGGAGCAAGGGGTGGAGCACAGGGCATGGGGTGGAGCATGGGGGTGTGGCAAGGGGTGGAGCATGGGGTGAAGTACGGGGGTGTGGGGTGTGGCAAGGGGTGGAGCACGGGGCATGGGGGTGGAGCATGGGGCGTGGGGGTGGAGCAAGGGGTGGAACACGGGGCATGGGAGTGGAGCACGGGGCATGGGGTGGGGTGAGGGGGTGGAGCAAAGGGCATGAGGCGGGGCGTGCGACATCGGGGTGAGGAGTGAAGCATGGAGGGGGTTAGCGGGGAGGTTGATCCTACTGATTTCAGGATGGGATTGCCAGGGTTTGAACAAGCCTTGACCCCTCTTTTGTTCCTGGCTGGTCACCCACACCCCACTCAAAGGCTCCCTGGCCCCACATCTTCTAGTGTCTGTACTCTGTACTCAAATGAATTCACAGCATAACGGGGTTTCTTGCACAAGATCAAGCTACTCAACATGGGGTCGGGGGTGTGTGTCACTAGTTCCACCCCTTGCCCTGAAGATATTGACAGTGGATTGCTTCTAGGGAAGGCAGAGTACGTATTCTTTAGGGGTATGCCCCTTCCTCCCCACATTCCCCCTCTCCCACCACCATAGGTTAATCTGTTCCAGTTCCAAAGGATGGCCTCACAACCATGCTTGTATGAGCAGCACAAATGAACTCACTTGGTAATAAATTTAATGATTCCTTTTTTTAAAAAAATGTGTAATGGTGTTTTGTCTGCATGTATGTCTGTGTGAGGGTGTCAGATCCCCTGAAACTGCACTTACAGAGAGTTATGAGTTACCACGTGAGTGCTGAGAACTGAATCAGGGTCCTTCAGAAGAGTAGCTAGTATTCTTAACATCTGAGCCATCTCTCCAGCCCCATGGGTGGGTGATAAAAAGAATAAAATAGGACATGAAGTTGAGGGGAGTGAGAAATGAATCTGGAAGGAGTGGGAGTAAATATAATCAAAATACATTGTATGTGTGCATGCATGCATGCACTGTGCGTGTATGTATACATGTATATATGCATGTGCATATGCATTATACACACATATGTATTATGCATGTAGGTATATGTATATATGCATGCACATATGTATATATGCATGCATTTATGTATGCATGAGATAATCGATTACAAAAAAATTAAAGTAAGTAAAACACACACAGGGAGAAGAAATCACATGCCATGATCAAAAAGGGTTTCGTTCCAGGCGTGTAAAGGTATGCACACCAATATAGGTAGACCACTAAATGTCATACAGCACATAAATACACTTAAAGGACAAAATGTTAGGATTATCTCAACAGATAATCAGCAAAAAAGGGCTCTGACAAAATTCAGCATCCCTTCATGATAGAAGGCTGGAAGACCTAGGAATAGGAAGAACATACCTCAACATAATAAAGACATGACAACTTTGCCAACTACACATCTGACAGGAGATTAAGAACTAGAATCTTTAAGAACTCCAAAATTATCTCAACAATAAATGGGCTAATGAGCTGACTAGTTCTCAAGAAGAATACAAGGAACCAATAGTATCTGAAGACCTAACTGTCCAACATCCTTAGACATGAAGGATATGTAAATTAAGATTGCTTTAAAAATCTACCTTACCTCAGTCAGAAGGACAACAAGGAAGAAAAGGGCCACTCACGCTGGCGAGGATGTGGGCAGGAGGAATCCTCACTCATTTCTGGTGAGAACGTAAACATGTATAGCTATATGGGAATCATCATGGAGGGACCTCCAAAAGGTAAAAATAAGAGACACTACATAACCCAGCAGACGATTCTTGGTTTATACGCAGACAACTCAAGAGTCCACGGAACACAGAGAGATTCACACATCATGTTTATTGCTACTGTCCATAACAGGCAAGACCAGGAACCAGCCCAGAAGCCCACCAAGAGTTGAGTAGATAGATATACAGCATTCAGTAGAGATACACAAAGGAGTGTTGTTGAACTATAACACAGAAGAAGACTATCACATCTGTGATGAAATGAATAGAACTGAAGATTGTTATAGGAAGCAAAATTAGCCAAGGTGAGAATGACAAATATGTGTTTTCTGTCTTGTGGAATCTAAGTGTATATTCGTGTGTAGACATATTGTGGACATGTAAATGCTAGAGTGGCCGGATTTCACAGATGTCAGTAGAAAGCGGTCAGATGTTTACAGTTTTAGTCACACAGGAAGAGCTCTGGAGACTTAGCATACTATTGAAACATGACACCACACTGACCACACTGACCTACCTGCACAATGATAAAGTTTGTTAGGTGTTGTTTACCATAATCCTTCAAAGTCAAGAACAAATGACAAATCTGAAAACAAAGGAGGAGAGCTTTCCCTTACTTAAGAGTGCAAGCTCTTTCCAGCTGGTAAGTTTCACCTTGGCCAGTCTAGAGCTGCCAGA